TATTCTGCGTAAGCGCTTCTAAAACAGCTTCTAAAGCCGATCTATTCGCTAATTAACATTTTGATATCGCGGCTGTGAGAGAGGGCGAGAAAAAAAGAATAATAATCGACCACGACTGGTGGGCTGCGCGCACGCATGGCGGATGCGGCCATGCTTTCACGATCTTCCCCCTCGAGATTTCCAGTCCACGCACGGATCCACGCACAGATCCACGCACTATGCGCCGCCCGCGCACGTGGCAGATGTTCAGTTTTATGCGCTCACGCATGCGTCCCTATCGAGAGGTCGTCCCCACCAATCCCAATTTCGCGCTGTCCCTCTACAAACTCGAGCGTCCCGTATCGATACACACAGGTATACCTTCCACTAATCGACGTATTGAAAAAAGAAAGGAAAAAGAGAAAAAAGAGAAATTGCGTGGCCTTCTATGTAACGAGACCAGTACTTCTTTTACAGAGCGAAGTTTGACGCAAAACTTCCCACTGATCTCTCACTCCTCGAAGGCTGCTCGCTTTACGTAAAGCCGCTCGATATCCGGCCGGATCGACGATCGACTCAACGAATTGACTCGTTTTCTCACAGAGAACATTTACGGGATTTCCGCTCACCTCCAGGTCCAGTCTTCCCCCATTCCCATATAATCGCAGCCGGATAATGTCACAGGCATATCTGAGAAGGCGGCGTTGTCGAGTCGGCCTGAACGTCCATTACACGACTTCAATCTCGCGATGCGTAACGAAACCCGATCTATCTTCCGGCGCGGTGTCGATCTCGATGAAAGTTATTTAGCGTCGAAGGTGCTAATAGTCGCGGTTGCGCGATTATACTCCGAACCTTTCCGCTCGGCTGGACGTACCGTACCGTATAATAACAAGCACAAAAGTATAACAAGCCGCCCAGTCGGGTTACCTGTAATCGCGCGCACCGATCGCGAACCTTTAGTCTCGGAATCCGCCTGTCTACCGTAATAATAATAGTCTCGATGGGATCCAGCGAGTCTCGTCCTGGTGCCCGGCACGAAGCCATGCTGAGAAAAAAATAGAGTTCAACGAAATTACGCTTAAATGAACGTATTTTTTTTTTTCAAGCGCAACGTTTAGCCCGCTGAACAAATTGTATAATTGCTGTAATGAATTGTCAATTGCTCCGACGATTCGCGGCTTACAACTACACGGAGGAAGCCCATTTAGTTGACTCAAATAAAACGCTTGTTTGGATATGGGTAAATTTGTTGGTTGTGAGAGCCAACAATCTGGGTTCTCTGAATCGAACCTTCTTCATTTTCATATCAGAGAAATTTTGGTTCTCCCATAACCAAAACACTTGTTTGCTCAGCGTATATTAACGCGGCATATTGCTGGCGCCAGCACCGTAATTTCTCCAGCGGGAACATTTTTTTCATGGTGGCCGCCGATTTTGTAGATCCAACCTTTTCTCGTCTCAGTGTATTTTCGATAATTGCGCGACCGACGAAGCGAACGAACGGAACGCATCTCGTGGATCCATTTTGGCCGGCGATCGTCGACGAAACGCGCCGGCGAGCTCGCGTACCCCAGACAATGCTATGATAATTTATTCCGTGGATGTAAATTTTTTACACGAGCCGCCGTGTAATCCATCATGCTTCGTCAAATTGGTACAAGCACCTTGCGCTACAGCGGTAACGCATACGCTGCCTTTTTCCACCCATGCGCTCCATACACACGCTCCTGGTTTCTTTCCACCCCGGAGTACCAGTCTTGGGCGAGAATATCGCGATGCGCACGAAGTACGTTTCGCGAATGTATATGAAACGATTGTTCGTACGAGCATTAATATTAGCTGTGTCATCGACACCGTATCACTTTTAACGACTCGGCTTTTCTAATAAATCCGAGATCGATGTCCCCTCAACTCCCCCGGTACTCGAGCGATAAGTTAACATCCTCTCCGCAATATTGTAAACGTATAATATTAAGGTGTCGTAATAATAAATGACCTGGACTTTAAATTAGGCTTCAATTTAAATACGTATTAAATAAGCTCCCGGCTGAGGCAGCATTTTTCTTGCAACGTGATAAGTGGAATAAAAAAGTGGTTATTAATTTAATTAGCATTTGGGTGAGAGCCTTAAGGGGATTATGTGGTAAAATATTCTGTGCGAATAACGTTCTGCTGAAACAAGGCAGATATGTTAAAAAGTAATATGTTAACAAGGTGAGTACGTGTAATTTAACATGTATTTGTGTATCTCTCAGCATATTTCCCGCGTTAAAGTAATTCAGTGGATAAAAATGCCAGCGGATCGTGTTCACAGAACATTATTTACCGTTTAGAATTTATAATATTATTATTGGGACTTAAGGATCGGTTCAAACGTAGAATGTTGATTCACCGGGTACGTTTATCGGGAGGATATTCAGTACACGCGTCGTTACACGCGGAAAATCCCTATCCTCCCACATTAATATTAATATTTAAATGGCACTGTAACATATTACATATCCGTGTTTTGGCTCCTCACATATATATTTCTCTTCATTGAAAACAAAGTCGTTGAATCGACGAACGAGGTCTCTCTTTGCTCGTCTCGCCGAGGCAGCGATGAGATTTTCCACAAAATGTGGAAACGCCGACAGGCGAATCGAACGCAAACTCGCGGAGCTACGAGACGCAGCGTGCGAATCATTGGAGCGTTAACTACATCGTACACATCGTGGAAAGGAATAAAATTAACCGTGGCAAGAACGACGCGGCCGGACGTATCGTGCTGAATGCAGCAGCGCGGAGATTACCTCGCGAGGAATAGATTTTCCGATTTCGCATAAATGCATGAGCTTTTTCACGAATCCGCGCGTCACACGAGGTGTGCATGCGTCGACCTTAAATAGCTTCGCGATTAACATCCAGTCGTCGACCCGGTCTGTCCCGACGCACGCATCACGCTCTTGCTTTATATTACATCAGACCACCATTTTCTCCCATCAAACCCTACGGAATAAGGATGATGGAAGAATTTCTTATGTATTAGTCTACTAGCTCATTAATCATACACGCCATGCGCCGAATATCTCGATTGATCGACGACGAGATAGCCGCGTAATGAGCTCCGCCGTCGCCGCTGCTGCTGCTACTCTTCTTGGTCCATTCGTCTCGAAAAGTTATTACCGCTTACTATCGGATTAAGAATTCGTTTCTACGCGCGTTCACAATTCACGCAGATACGTCCCGAAAATTATTAATCGTCCCGGAGCGTGTCCTTGACAAAAAGTCGTAAAAGGTAAGAAGGGAGGGAGGGAAGGAGGGAGGGAGGTAGAGAGAGAGAGAGAGCGCCCCGTCGATACACGGATTCCTAAAGGAAAATTTAACAAGCGGACCTTCGTCAACCGTCGATAGCACGCTCGACGTGGAGTGTCTCGTAGCTAGGCGTATATTCCGTCGGGCGCAAAGTAATTAAATGCAGAGAAGGAGAGGGAAACCCGAAGGGCTGGTCAGGTCTGGTGGGGCTCGAGGAGACGAGGAGGTAGGGAGGAAGGTAGCGAGGGCGTTCCTGAAGCCACTCCCCAGCACCGAGTCCTCCGGAACTGGAACCTGCCTCGAAACCCGTAGTTATATACCTGAACAAAGTGCACCTTGGCATGCAGGTAGAGAGACGCCGTGCGGCGTTGCATGCGCGCTCGTTACAGTCTCCTGCCATTTCGNCCCCTACCCTTTTCCCCGGGTGCGTACATATTCGCGCGAGTGTCCTCGAGCGTTTCTCCCACATGAGACTCGTGTCGCGTAACATTTCTCGCCGCTAATGTACTTACTTCTCCGCATTATGCGATAGAAAGCGCGCGCGCGACGGGAAATGCCGAAAAAAGCGACAAAGGGAGACACGCAGAGCCGAGTCCGTTAACACGTTCGCTTCACCGATACGTCGGATCACGCGTGACACGCGCTTTCCATTTGCATTCCGCGATCCCGATAATATCCACGAGGCGTCCTCCGCCGGCGGAGATCGAGCGAAACCTAGGAGGACACACTCGGCTACCGAGCGGACGTCGCACATGTCCGCGACATTTCACGATGAGCACGTTGACTTCCCCAACGAAGCGAAAAATCTCCGGCCTGTCCGGGGATGCATTTCCGATTGGAATCTCGTTAGCAGGATTGTGTGAATCACGAAGCGTGTCGGGGGGGGACAAAGCGGAGGACACGCGTGGATTCAGTGCCTTTCATTCGTACGCGCTGCGAACGGGCGTTACTTCGTTCTATTAGGATCAATTACACGTGGGAGAGGGAGGGAGGGAGGTACAACGAGAAGCGGTGGTTAATTTAATCGCTCTAATTATCCTTTGTCCATATGTCACTGGCATCGCGCAGGATACTCTTACGACCGCGGTTAAGCTCTTTTTAATGCAGCGCTTGACACGTTTATGATCACACGTCCTCGATCACATCGATCGTCCTTTTTCCCCTTCCCTCATGATGCATGGTCACGAGGTATTTCACGGTGTATGGTGTATTTCGAAAGAAATGGCCGGCGGAGTGCATTCGGCCGGCGTGTTTATGCTAATTAGGCGCGCAAAGGTGCGGCCAGGTGCGGCAGGCCGGGACTATAGTGAATGTTCGGATTGGCTCTTACAAATTGCCGCGTTAATTCGATACGCTCCCGACGTAAAGAGCCGCGAGCGCCAGATGTATTTAGCTGTTCTTGCTCCGGCACACACCGGACCGAACGTGAAGCATGCGCGGCGCGCGCACACATATACGCCGGCTAACTCTTTAATTAGCGTCCGAGAGAGCGCGGTTTCGATCGTCATCGGCAAGCGGGTAACGAAATAACAAGAAAAAATTGCGATCGATACGCCGGCAAAATAAAAGAATCGCTCGCGAAAACGCCGGCGATCCCGGCTGCGAAATAATTCGGTTAATTGTCGCCCCTGAATGATCTCTCCCGCGCGGGCTCCTCTCACCGTGGTGTACACCTCGCGCCGGGTGTAAAAGAGAAAGATGGTAAAAATCGCAAGCCAACTTACCGGTTTCCAGGTCCACGGTGTAAGGAAGTCCTGCCCACGGGTCGTCCTCCTGCGTCTCCGGTTCTTTGCCGTCATCCTGGAAATGAAGTTTCTTCCGATGAAAGTTACCCGCGCTCCGGCCGAGCGGAAGCGTCTTTTTCGTGAATTTAATAACTCCGCGAGAATTAGAATCGACTCGTGAAGAAAGCGGCCGTCGTGAGTGACCGAAAGAAAANGGGGGGGGGGGGGGGGGAACTGAAATCCGCGACACGCCTCGCCAAGAGTGAACATTTCATCCATCATATTAATTATAATTAATCAATCGACAATGATGCATGTGCGAGCGAATGAACGCGCGCGCGTATTATCGCAACGAGGAGCCACAGTAAATTAGCTAGAAAATTAGGTTGAAAGAGTAGCGCCGAGGTGTAGCGAGGCGCTGACCGTAATTAACGACGTTCCCGCGTCTAAGAGGTGTCAAACGGGATGACCCGGGGCTCTTTCTGCCCGGAGAGAGACGTGGATCGATACCTCGGATCACGAAACCGTAATTCCAACAAAGACGATCACCGGCGGTTCGCGCGCGTTCGGCCTACTCGAATTCGAGGCGAAGCTCGCGCAACAATGGCCGAAACTCAATCGAACGCCATTCGAGTCGGCCAAGGCCGGTCCTTATGGAGACGTCATAATCAAGAGAACGACCCTACGACGCCGACCGGGGAAAAAGGGCCCAAGGGCGCGCGTATGCCCCGGGCCATAGGTCGCCCGTAGCGGCGTTACATGTGAGCTGCAGTGAAATGAGTTTAATGAAAACAGTATTGTACGCGATCATTAATCACAGCGGGCCTCTGATAGTGGCCATCCACACAACCACCACCGGCCCCTCTATCTATCCCGCTCCCCACCATAGAATCCGCTTCTCTCTCTCTCTCTCTCTCGTCGTCCTCTCCCTCACCGACCCCTCTCGAATCTTTCATCCCCCTCTGCCTACGCTCTACGGTCACTTTTTCATTCCGGCGATATGATGTATCGTTGTTGAGTGGTGCGTTACGCCGAGCCCCGCGGAGTTATGAATACGAAATTCAATCTATCTCGGCGCCCTAAAATCGAACCCGCCGCGAGACGAAAGCGAGCACTTCGCTGTGAATTATTGGAGACACGCCGTGAATCGAGAAACGGTATCTCTTATCTGTAGCAGGGCACTTTGCGACAGCGCGAAAATCTTATCACGAGATGGAGAGACGATTTGTTTCTTAATCTACATTTGTTCCCCCGTATCTGTGATCGCAGGGTTGCGCTCATCCACGATCCTGAGAAACTTTCCACCGTGATATTCCATCGAGAAAGTTGGAAAATTGCTGTGCAATTAAAAAAACCGGTCCTAAAATATTTTCTGAAGAGTCACGGCCACGTATAACCGCGTGCGCCTTATTTTGGGCCCACGACGTCATCTCTCTTTCGACTCTCGAAGGAAACGTCGGTTCTGCTCGACGACGCAGCCCTCGATGCGACAATGGGGGTCCTGTCAGCGATACGGACTTGCATGGCTGGCATAGCTCTCAATTAAGGTTTTACGAACTGTTACGACTGTCTGCCCCGATCATCCCGCCTTACAAGGACCAGCACGGATAGAAAGCATAATTCAAATCAGCCTCGATCGCCGCGAGTAAATACGAATTCAATATGGTACCGCTGATCGCCGGTGATGTGGCGCGAGTCACGCTGCCTCGAATCGAGTGTAACTCGATACGTTTCACATATCGCGAGGCCCGTTGTTCATTTATTTATACATTCGTTGTGTGTCGCACGAAACGAAGAGAGGGACGGAATTAAAAATCACCGAGAAATGCGCCACGTGCCGCACAAAATTGCGGACATTGTCTGCTGGAAATAATTACGGATGCGCCGGGCGCGGCAAGTTCGGCGTGGAAAATCACGCGAGATGGGAGAATCGGGAAGGGAAATCGCGAATCCGATGATTTCGTTGCGTAGCGAGACACGGAGCAAGTTGCGAAGGGAACGATTTTATTAGCGGAAAATGTAGGAGAACGCAGCGAGAGCCTGATCGTCGCGCGCTCGCCATTTTGCTCGGAAATTCCAGTCGACGGAAACAATCGGGACAAGAGAAGGAAGCCAAACCCACTTCGGCTGGCCGGGCGCGTTTTCAATTTCCAGGACCATCAATACGTCCCCTCGTAATCCCCCTCCCAGGTTGCTCCAATCTCTCTGGCTACCGAAGTCCCCTCTCTCTCTTTCTCTCTCCTCATCTACCGTCTTTTTCTCCCCACGGAGAAACGCCTCGTGGATCGACAACGTTCCTTCTCTCTCTCTCTCTCTTCCTTTTTGGCCTCGTCCCTCTTCCGCTCTGATAGGTCCGTCGATGGCGCCCCTCGTACCGAAGGGGATGCTGCGTACATCTATCATTTTACCCAGACCCCGCCGGCTTCACGGATACATCGCAGGAACAAATGAACGCTAGCCATTTTGATGGTTTTATGAATACGCTCGGCGAAAGATGGACGGGGCGAGAGGGCCCGTTGTTTTCGTCGAGATCCTCCTTCTCCTCCAGCCACGATCCCCGTCCTCTTCTCATCGCGCGATATCCACCCGAGCGAGCCTCCGTCCTCGCCCTTCTGGCACCCAGACGGAGTCGCCTTAATGGAGCCCGTCGTCGTCTAGGAGAACTCGCTTCATTTGAATCGCGTCGGTGGATTAAAAATTCGCGTCAGTCACGACAGCACGAGAAAGCGACCTCCTACGATCGGGGAGTAAGGTGCCTGCCTCGTGGCGATTTATCTTACGCGATACGCATCCGCGTTGAAACAACCTAACGGCGAGCGAGGTTCCCCGAGTGGAAACCGATATCGGGCCCGCTTTGCGCGTCCCGATTGTTGCAGACACCCTTCGAATAATTACGAATCATCGGGTGCCGATGATACGCGTAACGCGACACGATCGCGATCCAGCGATACGCGAGACACTCGTGTCTCCCCGCAGGTCGCTCCGCGGAGTTCCAGTCAAATATTTGTACAGTGACGCTGCCGGGAACGATCTTTTCCTCGTAATTGATGACACGCGTATGCAAACAAGACTACAGGGAATCGCAATATAAATTTGCGGCCAACACACAGCCGCGAATGTGTCTCGCTGCTCCTACGGAAAACGTAATTTGCGGCGCGTATTTTTCGTGTTCTTCAAATCGCTCCTAACGGCGCGGACTGTTTTGCGCGCGCGATGAATAATAAGCGATAAGTACGCGAGGAATCGGCAAATAAAACCGCGCGCGAAACAAACCGTGACCGGCGAGCACCGGGAGAATTTGTTGTCCTCGCGACGAATGCTTTCCATCCTGAATAGCTCGATCGAACTTCCTCTTTCCTACTTTCTAGATTGACGTTCCTCTAAACGCTTCCATAATTCATTCCCGTTTCGCAGCGAGACGGAGTCGCTCTAATGGAGCCTGTCGCCACGACGTGCACCGATCATTTAAATCTTGGCTCTGGATTAAAAATTTCTGCCAGTCACGGCGGCTTGAGATAATTGTACAACAGGAACATGCAATGTGCTTTACAGCAATTCACCTGCTGGCTAGCTTCTTCCTGGCGACATCAACGTGTCAAGAACGACAAGTTGACAAATATCCTGCGTTGCAAAATCATTTGAAAAGTGTTTCATTACATATTTGACCTTGACTTTAGACGACGCTTGTAATCTCGCGACGCTCTGTCGTGGCAAATGATTTTCGGTGCCCGTGAATTGTCGTCGTTCGTTTATCGAAGAGAGATCGAGAGAAAAGCGGGGAAACCGAAGCGATCGCGGGGCATTTGGATTTCAGTGGCCACAGATTTTCGGCCTTGCGTTTCCACGTAGTTTATTCGGCTTTACGAAATCGTACTTAACTCTTTCTCCTTCCGACTTGCTCGAACGTCAATTAATGCATAAACGGATAATTATTGATTGGATATTTGGGGATTTAATTAATTAATTGGGATACAGGCTCGGCTTGACGTGGAAGGGAGACCCCCCGCGTATGTTTAAAAGTACGCTCAAAAACAAATCCGTCAGCGCATGCGATAACACTGTCAAACAAATCCCCAAACAATTTATTCACACCTGTCCTGGTTTTTGTAAGTCTTTCTGTGTTTCTCTTCGATCGTAAACATTTCTCGTTCTTCTAATCTTTAGACCCTTTAAACATCATGTATTCATTTGTACTGAAAGGAATTTTTTCACGGGGAAAATAAGTTCTGCTGGAACGGCAAGTTGTTTGTAAATATCATGACAGCAAATAAATTTGTCATATGGAAATAGTAATTTTGCCGTTGTAATAAAACGTCGTTGCGGTAGTGATAAGATTTAGTTGGCAGGAACAAATTATTTCGCTGTCCATAGATCCAACATTTAATACTCTTAATAAATCTTTCGGCTGTCGAAATATTTTTCTGCCAATTATTAACAAACAATTTGCTGTCCCAGCAAAATTTGTTCCTCCGGGTCCTGTTAACAATGGAATAAAATAGAAACAAAACGATCGTCATTTGCGACGACGGAAACGCGACGGTCGGAATACGTTGTAGCGAGCCACGGTATCGCGAATCGATCGATCTCGCCGAAATTATATCGGTTTCGAGGCCGAGTAAAAAGCGATATGCGACTGGACAGGTACACGCGGTCAAATTTTCTCATTATTGCTTCTGACAACGCCATGCCGTTTCTCAGTTGCTGCCTGTCTTTAGTTAAAACAATTCTGCAGCGGGACGTTGGAACAATGCTTGTCAATAATCCGTCGCAATGCGAGACAGAGAGGAAGAGAAAGAGACTCGATCGAGAGACTGGACCCCTCTTTGTTCTCAGCTGTTCGCGGACCGTGTCTCGTATCGATGTGTCGGCTTTCGATCGAGATCGAGGGTCTTCCCCGTATTATTGGGCCCTCGAAGGCGGCGGCGAGCCCTCACAAAGGTGGAACCCGCTGGAACAATGCGATCTTCGTGGAGGAAGAGGCCGGGAGACGGAGCGGCGCACATAGCGACGTCGGGAAAGAAATAAAGAAAGAAGGAACACCGACTACCGAAGGTCGTGAGAAGAAGAGAGAAGAAGCGAAGAAGAAGCCGGAGGACGGAGGGAGGACGAGAGACAGAGAGGGAGGACGAAGAACGTCGAGAAGTCTGATGGGCTACCCGCCCAGAACGTCGATGCAGCGTCATTGTCGGTGACCATCGTATGGATGAGCTCTCGTAGACTCGAATCTCTCCGATACTTAAACGCACCTCGCGTCCATCCACCGAAACGCGCGGAGGAAAGTCGTCGCTATCGAAAAACACCTCGCACGAGAAGAATCGACTGGAATCCAATCAACGGAAGAACCCGCGTTCTTCACGGACCCGGCGCTCGGGCGATTGGTAAAGCGGAACAACGCTGTCCCGATGCATTTTGCCGCGGATGACAATCGAGCTCTATGAATTCAAAGACTTGTCCTATTATGTAAACAATGTTGAGAGAGAGAGAGAGAGAGAGAGAAAGTTCATATATGTGTGATCGTGAGACAAAACGAATTGTTCGACCCACAAGCTGTCGTTGTAGATGAAATAACAACACGAAGAGCGGGAGATCGTAAACTAAAAGAAATGTTATCCCCTCCGAAGTCGTTATCTTATAATAACGAAAGCTCGAAGAAAGATATCACGAAATACCCTCGATCTCTATTAAAGTCCTTTGAAATTCGGCGAGTACTAACATATTTAATTATACTATAACATACGTATCTTTACATTAAAGAAGAAAATTTTTCAGACAAAGATATATAAATTTTCTTAAATCTGTAGCTTTTCATGAGAGCACTTGCTTATTCTATTGAAATAAGAGAATTTCGCGGGAGATCTGAGAAAAATGTTATTCGTACTCAAATATTTGTTTTATTTTTCAGATGTTTTCTTTTCTTTCAGGTAAACAAAACTGCGTGTTATGTGACTATCGAATGGACAAATGACTGCGAGAAGGCACTACGAAAAGAATCACAATATTCTTGTCGTCCACGCGATCATGTCTCTTCGTGGGACACCAGACATAATACATCGTGAGACAAAGTGGCCGCTATCTTGGTTTGTGAGTACAAGTTAGAAAGACAAGATCAATGCCTGATACGAGCAGGGATTGGAATATCAACCGAGATCATATCCGAGGACGCGTGGGCCGGTTCCTAATCTCTCTTCGGGCCTACCGAGGACGTCCGCCACGGGCTGGGACCAGCTTAACGTCTCCCTCGAGATCGTTCATCCATGAGCGATTATGAATATGGGAGCCACACGATAAATAGCACAGGTAGCACGGCCAAATTTCTCGAAAAGAAGTTTCCCGTAGATGTCTGTGGTCTGAATTTTTTTCTCGATGATTTAGAAATTTACCTTACGCTGCGTTCAATGAAATCATGAATGGATATTATGGTCCAATGGGAAATCTTATTTCTCGAGAACGAAACCCCCCCATTGCACCATCGTTTGCGTCCCAAACTGCTGAAGAAAAAGAGTACAGCTGGCTTCGATATGTAAGCAAAAATGAGAATGCCGTTCTACCGCTTCGAAAAGAACACATGCATCTTAAAAGAGTACGGTTGATAACCGCCGTGCAAACGTGAACGTCCTCGAACGAGCGCAACCCCCTGCGAATAAACTCGGTGTGGTTCGCGCGGGATGCGCGACGAAGAGATTGTAAAGAGATAACCACCCCGACGATCGAATTCCATCGTTAGCCGGGCAAACAGTGTCATCTTCATTTTATGCGCCGTCGACTTTTTACCAGTCGATACGAATCTATTGGCACAAAGTGTGTTCCGTGTTTATACCCCCTTCTATCAGCGCGTCAAATGGCCACCATTCTGCCGTCTCGAGACGCATTCCAGTGTGCGCTATTCTCGAATCGAGTCAGCAAATTGATTCCTGATGGCGGTTAAGGGGTACAGCCGCAGAACGGATAACGTCTTGAAGTATTCTCCGACGCGAACGCGTCGTACGTGTGTGCGTGTTTGTGTGTACAAATGCCCGGAAGCCAAATCTGGAAGCCTTTTCCCGGCGAGGCGCGTCGCTCGGAGAATGTCGCTTCCTATTCGCGCAACCAACCCAATTGGCCGATGATTACCGAGAGGCAGAACGGAAAACGCGCGATGTCGCGAGCTATTCTTCAGCGCGGAGCGCGCAGGTGCACGCGCGGAGCTTTCTATCTCCGATAATCGCCCGGGGGACACAGGAAGACGTCAATGGGGCCCGTACGGCATACGGAGAAACGAAGATTTAAATTAAGTCCGAGGAAGCGAACGCTTCCTCCTAACGCGTGAAAGCAGAAAGCTGCGCAATCTCGATAAACAATTGTTTATTAATCGCCATCACGGACGGCCGGGACAACGCGAGTGAAATCGCGCCCAGATTTATATACGTTTGTCGCGGGCTATGACGCGGCTGACACGAAATTGGAACGGTTGCGGCGCACTAGTCGGAGCGTAAATAAAAAAAAGGAAGAAAATAAAAGAAAAAGAGAGAAAAAGTTCCCACGTACCTTCTGATTGGTGGCATTAATAGCTTCCAAGGTCTTCAGCTTCTCGATCTCATCCGCCGATTCTTTCTCCGACGTGGACGACTTTTTGGTGGGTGCCGCCGCCGGCTCCACTAACGTGAATCCTAGATCCACGTCCTGCTTCCAGAGAACCTCGATCAGGTCCATATCCTGAAATCAAACACGCGCAACGGCGCGATATTATTGGAATGAATGTCGCACGTAATCGCGGTCTCGATTCAATTTGTTTCTATGCCGCGGTACGAGAAATATTTCACTACCGCGATAATTGACACAAGGGTGATAATGGCCTCCATTATTTCGCGCCATTACAGCTAAAAGTAAGTAACGCTCGTAGTTCTCTCAAATAGGAGCTATACATTGTAGAACTCTTCGTTGTATTATCTGTTTGTACGAGCGAAAGAGCGGACAAGGCATGCGGGCTTCACTTTAAATGCAAATCGAAGGGATGCAAATATACGGGTGCAGGCTTTTCCGTCGTTCTTCTATGTCGGTGTTTAATTCTCTCGTAATTAAACTTATATCACCTTTTTAGCCGTGTTTGCGCTTCTCTAACCGCAAAGCGGCGTATACTCTTTGTAATGCATAACGCTCTTATCAGGCGTACTTACAAGATCAACTTTCTGTCAGGCTCGGTCGATTAAACAAAGCAGACGCTTTAAAAATAATGAGATACACGCACATCAAAGCCCTGCGTGTTTAACTTTCATCGTTAGATCGTAATAGGTCGCCCTGAAAGATCATTTTAATATCAATTTGATCGATCGGTGTCCGTTGTATCCGTTGATCCACCGGCCAATTTTACAATACCATCGCGACTTAATTTGATATTTTGCATAAAGTAATCGCAATGACGCCATCAACTTCTCTCTTACCCTGCCGCCCTTCCTCTCTCTCTCTCTCTCTCTCTCTCTCTCTTCTAAAAGTCTCACGATTAATATCCGTTGCTTCCACAACGAAGCGCCCCGCGTGCGCGGCTCCTTCGTTTATGTTTATTTTACATAAGTTAATAACATCTGGCCTCGATCGCCGTTCAGGACCAGTCTCGATCTTCGAGATTCATTTTTGTTGCGTCTCGGATGTCCCTCGCAGGGAGTCCCATCGACGAGTGTGTACAAAAGTGCATGATTAATGATGGCCGAGTATCGATGCATCTCGAAATGGAGGAGATCGAAGAAAGGACCCGGGAGAAGGGACCAATCACATGACGGGGCACAATCCTCGGGGCAGCTGCCCCGTGGGTTTTAATCGAGCCAATTTCGCCGAGTTCGTACTGAGCCTCGTTAACCAATCTACGGATTTTCCTCGCTAATCTGAAGCCTACCGTATTCGCCGCGCTACGTGAAATGTGATTAACATGTTCTGGGAGAGGAGAGGCCGACTTGCGCGCATCGGTTCTCTTGTATCTAAGTACCGTGAGAAAATTATTGATCTTAAAAGAAAAAAAAAAAAAACGTCAGTTTACGACACATCTGACAATAGCGCAGGCGCGTTGCGATAACTTATTCATTTCGTCTTCTTCGGGGCTACTCTCTCTCTCTCTCTCTCTCTTTTTTATTTAACTTGAGCGCTTTTTAGTACTAATGGTTATTACACACGCCTGTCATTACTCTAGTATTATGCCTGCCATTATATTTTAGTTTCACGAGTGTTGAATCACCTTAGTTTTATATAATTGCTTATAATATGTTATTTTTTTGTTCTTTGTTGGTCCACTGAGTTTTTCGATCGTTCATTCGTAAGTCGCGGGTCTCCCGCATGAGTGATACTTTTCTATCTTTGTTTTATTGTTTTTTTTATTTTCTGTTCAATTGAGACGCTGAGTACAGCTGTTTTATTGTTTCTGTAAATCGTAAATTCAAAGAACATTACCCCAGAGTACAAATACATTCTATACAGAGAAAATATCGTAGTAAAAATCACCACAAAATTCAGTAATGTTGGACTATATCGAAATTATAATTGAAATTATCACGCATGTTGCAGTCTTTAATGATGTACTTCATTATTCGCATTACTAAAGATTACAATACACAATTTCACTCGTGATTTCTCTACGGTCCAACGTAACAAAATTTCACGTTAATATTTATCACTGATATTTTCTCGGTGTACTCTCTCTTTCCCTCCCTCTCACAATACACGAGATTACTCTTATCACGCAAATTACAACGTTACGATTCGAATGAGAACGCATTAATACCTTGGTGAACTGAAATTACTTCTGTTCTCACTCGGACGGGCCTCGGTATTAAACACACTTACCGGCGATATGCCGACAGCGATATCGCCGCTTGACAAGCGTAGGAAAGAAAACGAGCGCGCTATCTCCAACGAGCAGAAAATCGAGTAATTTAGTATGAACAGAAATTGCGCCTTTATCGAGAACGTACCAGCATCGGCTTACACGCGCATCGCCTACTCATCGTTTCAGCACGTTTCCCCGTTCGCCGATAAACCGCCGCCGGAGCGTAACGCTCGGCCGAACCGCCATGTTTGCGGATTAAGTGGCTAGCGGGACATACGCGCGCGTCTTCGGTCCGAACGATAGACCTTCCGCGCGCGGTATTTCCGCGTCAATTACAGCCGGCGGACACGTGTTTAGGGGCTCTCCCGACTATTTTCTATTGTATTCATCTACTCGTTACGCCGGTTCTCACGTGGCGGCAACACCACGATGCGCCGATACTTGAAACTGTAGCAATAGTTTTCGCTTCGTCAGCCATGCACGTAGGTTAAACGTTGCTTGATTCTTGTCGAAGCGTCGGCGAGAGACAGGAAACTCCGCCGTATTCACGACGCTGGCAGCTAAGTGCGCGACGTCGTCGTCTACGACGAGGAAGCGGCGCGCGCGACTCTCCTCGGCCATTCTTTTCTCTCCGCCTTTTTGTTTTTTTGAAAACGAGAGAAGGGGACGAGGCTCTCCGCGCGTAATGCCTGAATAGACAATTGAATCAGGAAGCGATTTGATTCCCGGCGGACAACGCGCGCCAACTCGATCGCGGCTCCTCCCGCTCAAGTGCCTCGGTCCCTTCGTTCCCTTCGCGGAATCGCTCCTTTCTTTTTCGTCGAGGTCGACGGACGGGAATTGCGTGAAATCCCGAGGGAGCGAAGGGATCAAGACGCCGAGTGGTCGGCCGAGAAGTACAAAAGCTCGCGGCGCGAATGTATCTTCAGCGTTCATTCAAACCAATGCCCACAGTTCGGAATTCCCAGCGCGTTCCCCCGCGTATTCTCGATAACGTTCTACGCGATGAATAAATAAGCGTTTACAGGACGAAGGTTATTCGCGCGCTCGATTCGCGGAGAGAAAGCGCCGGCGTGTGATTTCCCCGATCGAGCGAGATATCTCCGACCCACCCATCACCACGCCCGCGTTCCTAATTAATCAGGGGGCCCGGCTGCTTTTGTCGACGTTGCCCCAAAGACAAAGAGGCCGCGCCGCCATTAATCTCTCGCGGTATCGTTATCGGCGATCGCGAATTTGTACCGCGCGCGGAGGGATGTAACGGATACGATTCCGCGCGCGCGTTCGCGGGCGTAGCTTTGTAAATTACTTCGCCGACCGTGTAATTCGATGCGGCGAGAATCGGGAGAGGGAGAGACACGGTGTGGGTGTGCATATGACGTCGGCCATGTTGGAGAGACACAGCGGGATATCCGCCGCGCCCACAGCTGGGTTATCTCTCCCGCTCGAGGTTTTGTGCGGCGCAGCGCCGCGCCGCGATGCACTCGCCCGGGGCCCGATATCGACGCCCTCGATTTCTATTCGATTTACACCGGTGGGTCGGACGCGCGAGGTCCTGAAAAAGAACTATTCCGCTCGGGGACGAGCTCTCCTCCTCGCGAGGTGACGGCTCGATCGCGCGCGCGGTGAGCTTTTAAAAGGGAAAAGATAAAAGGGAAAGTCACACGGGGGTAATCCCCGAGGTGACATTCGTCGCGTATCGGTACTTGAATTACGCAATTCCCGATCCGTATCGGGCCTCCGGCTGATATAATCAAGAGATCGGCTGCGTTATCAGCGATTATGCGAGATCTCCGAGAGAGCTCACGGAGCTGGCCTGATATCGTTCGAGAGCGATGGATACGCGGGAATTCCGAGAGTCGCGCGCGCGGACGTTCCGATCGGAGGAACCCGGTGAGAGATGTCGAGTCGCCGGCGCGAAACGAGCATGCAAAGGCGGAAAGGTGTATCTGAGGATCAGTAATTACACGAGGCGGGCTGGTAATGGTCGACCATCGTTTATCTAGCATCGCTCCTCTCTCCGATCGAGTCGGATATGTCGCGGATGGGTTTGGAGAAGCGGCGGGCGAAACGTCGAACGTCGTCAATCGTATCTGCCGCGGGTGATCTCGCTGAAAAGCGATTGTTTCCGCGTCCGGCGATAGCAGGTGCTACCCCCGTTATTCCCGCGGATATCCCGGCGAACAACGCGGTCGAGCCAAAGCGCCGAAACCGTACCGTTTTTCGGCTTTTCAACTCCGAAGCTCCGTGTGTCGAAGGTGTGAAATTACAATGTTTTTACACGAATTTTCTCAGAGAGTCTATCGAAAGGGCGGTGTTCCTTGAAAAACGGCCGTTCTCAGGTTTTTCTCCGACTTCGGTTCTTGTGTGCTTCTTGTCTATCGCGTGTATTAGATCGTTTTAACGAACATTGATACGTGTGACCGTACGGCGACGTATTTGCGCGCAAGGTGTGCTCAGTGAAGAACGCCGCGAGCTTTTCTTTTCAATTGATTTCGAAACGGTGGAAAATTCGTAGATTACCTTCGTATTGAACTCGCTCGCCCAACGTGTTAGTCGTCGATCATTTATCGGGGGAAACCGCTATGGATTGGAGATATGTCCTCATTACTATTCATCGACCGTATGCGTTATCCTTCTTTCTGATTCCTTCTTGAACGAAAATCTTAGCCTTATAAGGGCTGCTGCCAGTTTCTAGTTCTCGTTCGTCGAAGAGAATAAAGCACTCTGCCCGTGGCTAAATCCGGAATTGAGCGGTTTCTCACTCCCTATATTTAATATTACGTCGCGGTGCACTCACGCGTGCGCGTTTAACAGCTTACACGAAGCGTTTCGGCTTCTTCCCCCTCAGCTTCGAGCTAATAATAAGTAGAGCCTGACGGGAGATTTCGCGTTGCTTGTG